GCCTTCTGAGAGCTAGGATTAAAGGACTGTGTCACATTATATAGTAATGTTATATTTTTGTTTATGGCGGTGTTGAGTTGCTTTGAATGAGTTTGACGTACACACACACACACAGCCAGCCTCTTAAATCTCTTGCTCATTTTTCTTTTGAGTTTTCTTTTTGCAGCAGCTTTTCATATTCTGAATGAGCCCCCTTTGAGCTGTAGGTGTTATAAATTCTATTCTTATATTTCAGGTTGCCTTAATTCTTTATGGTGTCATTGAACATGAGGTATTAATTTTAACTTAGTCCAGGTTTTCACTTACAGTTAATGCTTGTTGTAATTCCTTTGTTGTCTTGTTAATGAAATCATCCCATCTACTGTGTATGTTGAAATGCAGAAACCACTTACTTGTTTGAAACAGGATTTCATTATTCTAGAGCTCACCAATTAGGCTAGTGTGACTGGCCAGTGAATCCCAGGGATCTTACGTTTTTGCTTCCCAGATGCTGATATTGCAAGTACTGCTGCTGTACCCCTATCTTTTAGAAATGTGTATGTGTTGAGAGGAGAACAGTATACACATGGAAATTGCTTGCCTGGCACATGGAAATCTGGGGACAACCTTGAGTGTGAGCCCTTGAGAGCTTCCCACTTTTTCTTTGAGACAGGATCTCTCATTGATTGATAGACTAAGCAATTCCGAGGGACCCTCTTGCCTGCATCCCTCAGCACTTAGATTGCAAACACATGCCACTCTTTTTTATTTAGAGTGTGGATGGGAGTGTGTCTTAGTGCAGGTGCTTACCTGTACACAGAGGCTGTCAGTCCTCAGGAGCGTTCCACCTTTTGTTTGAGATGAGGTCCCTGAATGACCTGAATCTTGTCATGTAGGCCAGGCTGCCTAGTCCAGGAACTAGGGATCTGCCTGTCTGCCTCCCATCTCACCATTGCTGGGATTTGAATTATAGTCATGATCACTGCACTTCTTATGTGTGTTCTGGGGATCGAACTCAGATCCTCATGCATAATAAGCACTTTGCCAAATGAGCAGTATCCCCAACCCATGAAATCTTTAATAACTTGAGTCAAAGATAATATTCTATATTTATGAGAACTTTTAAAATTTTGCTCTTTACATTTAAAAGCTCTGCAACATACTCGAGATTAAAATTTGCATATAACAGTAGATAGAATAATTGTCTTTGAGACGGTTGTTATGTGTAAGTGTATATGTGCATGCTCACATTTATGTGGAATACCATTTCTCAAAATCTCAAATTTTGGACTTAGTATAGTGATTTTTTTGTGTGTGTTTTAATAAATAAATCTTGCCTTGTCAGCCATACAGACTAGGCAATGGTGGCACACACCTTTAATCTTAGCAGCCACACTAGTTAGCCATAGAGGCTGGGTGGTGGTGGTGGTGCACACCCTTAATCCCAGCACTAGAGAGGAATATAAGTCAGAATGAGGCACGAACTTGCTCTCTTTCCGCTCTGAAGATTTCATAGGTAAGAGCTCTTTTTGGCTGCTTTGCTTTTCTGATCTTCAGCTTGGCTCACTTTCTGTGTCATCGTGATTTCTGTCATGTTTATTCATTGCAATAGAGATGTTTTTCTTTTTTTACTAGGTCTATCATATCTTTACATTAGCAGAATTTCTTAGTTAATAAGTTGCACCGAAATGTCTTAAATTAGTATTCAGCTTTCAGTAAATCTTTATCTTTCAATATTTGTTAGATATTCTGTGTTAGCTTTTTAACAACTGTTTGGTGCATGATTTCTCTCAGTCTATTCCGTTTCCTGTGATGAAAATTAAAATAACAAAACTGATGCAATAGCTTCTAATTCTGGTCATAGAGGTAAGGACTCTTAGCTTACTAACTAAATTAACATTATAACACTAATTTCCCATATAGTGTTTTTATATGCTATTGCTAACTGCCCCCACCCAATTTGTTGTTCTTTCTTAAAGTAATTTAGAGATTCTCAAACTGGAAAATTACTACAAAATCAAGTAAATTCACTCTTTTAAAATCTTGGGGCTGAGGAGATAGCTCAGTGGGTATGCTGGACAGTTATGAGGTCCAGAGTTCAAGCAGCCACATAAAAGCTGAATGTGGTGGTACATGCTTATAATATCAGCCCCAGTAAGGCACAGTCCTGGAGATCACTGGCCAACTAGACAAGCCTAAGGAGCAAGTCCTGAGTCCCAGTGATTGATCCTGTCTGAACAAAGTAAACAACTCTTGAGAAATGCCTTCTGAGGTTGACATCTGACCACCACATGCACCCATGTAATCACACATACAATACACCACCCTCCCAAAAAACTATGAAGACTGGGGATTATTCTGCTTTATACAAGCTTATTTTTTCAAGTAGTCTAGAAGTTAGTGTTCCAAGATGGTGGCTCAGTTCTTATGAAATCATTTAGAATCTTGTTTGACAATCTGCTGTGATACTGATGTACATCTGCATGTTCAAAGCTGACTTGGTTTCACATCTTCCTGTTAGCCTGTGGGAAGTGATAAAACACTCCAACTGTAAGCTAGTTTTTGTTTTGTTTTTATTTGTTTTGTTTTGTTTTTAAAGACAATATCTTGCTATATAGCTTAAATTGATCTGGAACTCCATAATGTTGGCCAGGGAAGAGTTTAATTGTGATATTTCTGCCTCAGCCTCCCAAATACTGCTATTAGGCTTGCTTACTCACCCAGCTTGACAGATATCTTTTAAAATGAAGGTGATCTGAAAGTTCTGTGAGTTGATTTTACTCACTCCTCTATTTTGGTCTACACTAATTATAAATAACATAACTTTAGGTAATCTAGGGATGTAAACTCATCATACAGTAGATAATAAGCTACAGTTTGCCCCCCCCATAGGGTATCATAGGGTTTCTATAGCTTTGAAGAAACACCATGTTCATGGCAACTCTTATTATAAACGAAAACTTTAATTGGGGTGGTTTAGATTTAGTCCATTATCATTATGTTATGGTGGAACATGGTGGCATGCAGGCAGACTTGGTGCTGAGAATTCTACATCTTGATCCAAAGGCAAGGAAGTGAGCTGGAACTCTGGGTGTAGCTTGAGCATATATGAGACCTCAAAGCCCAACCCTACAGTGACTTAAAACTCCAACAAGGCCATACCTCCTAATAGTGCCATTCCCTATGAGCTTACGGGGTGGGGGCAGTTACATTCAGACTATCTCACAGGGTTTCTCTGTGTAGCCCTGGCTATCCTGGAACGCACTCTGTAGACCAGACTGACCTCTAACTTATAGAGATCCGCCTGCCTCTGCCTCTTGAGTGCATCGATTAAAGGCATGTGCCACCCCAGCCTGGCACAACTTGCTTTCTATAGACAACAAATAGAACATGGTGGGAAAAAACTTAATCTGTTACAAAAGCTCTCATTAACAATACTAAATGTAAATCTCAAAATAGTTACCTCTAAATGAGTGATTTTTAAAATACAGCTATATCAGTTATATTCCAATGTAATTTTGTATTAGCGTTGTTAATTACAAGTCTCTTAATGTGACATTACTTTGTACCTTGCTTTGTAACATGAGGGCCGGCTTGTTGGGGTATCTGTCCCCGCCTGATACCCCACAGCCGGCAAGTCCCAGAGAAAATCAATCACACAGAGATCTCTATAAGATTATAAACTGATTGGCCTATTAGCTTAGCCTTCTTATTAACTAATTCTTACAGCTTATATTAGCCCATTATTCTGATCTATGTTAGCCATATGGCTTGGTACCTTTTTCAGCTGTCAGCTCACATGTTGCTTCTTCGGTGGTCTGGGCAGGAATGGCAGAGGGAGCTTCCTGCTTCCCAGAATTCTCCTGTTCTCTTTGCATCACCTCTACTTCCTGTTTGGTTTTCCCACCTATACTTCCTGCCTGGCCAATCAGAATCTTATTAAAATACATGATTGACAGAATACAGATATTTCTCCTGCACCATTGCTTGATCAATTGAAATACACTTGCTTTGGAGGGAGAGAATTATAAAACTGTACATTAAAATGTAGCTTCCCTTTCTGGAGGAAGATTTAGGGGGAAAAATGTATTTTCTGTATTAAAATAGACATGTATGTATTTTGAGTATGAAAGTAGAAACCAATAGAAACCCTAAAATTAACCTTGTTATACTGTTAATGGATAATTCTAACCTCACAAAGACATTTCTGTGCCCTATGAGTACACCCATTTGAAGTTTGTATCTAATGTGTTAAGCTGTCAGTTCTAAACTTTTAAAATTGTAGAACTGTTTTGGCAAAAGAAAAATAGTAAAAAGTGAAAAAAAAAGTATTTGCTCAAGCCAGATATAGTGGCTTTAATCCCAGCCTTTGGGGGCAGAACAGGCGATCTTTGAGTTTGAGGGCAGCCTGTTTGACATAGTGAGACTCTGTCTTGAAAAGCCGTATCATCTGTGTTTCTAAGTTTTATTTATTCTTTTATGGACTTTATACAGGTTGAATATCTTTATCTAAAATTCTTAGGACCAGAGTATGTGAGATTTCAAATTTTTAAAAATATTTTGGGGATATATATTATATATATATATATATATATATATATATATATATATGGGGTTGTTTTGAGGATGAGATTCAAGTTGAATCATGAGACTTGTCGTCTCAAGGTGCCTTATACACATCAGCTGAGGATATGTACATAATATCTTTTAGAATTTTACATGTGAAACAAAATTTCTTCAAAGTAAATTTTCCATTTATGGTTTCACGTTAATACTCAAAATCTATTGGAATTTGGTTCATTGCAGATTTTCAAAGTAGGACCGAACCATTCAACTCATGCTATGGTTTTATACCTATAGCCAACTACATTTGTAAAGGCTTTTTCTTTTCTTAGCAGGTGAAACATCCTATATCTTGTTATTGAGACTTGTGGAGTAGAGTTGTAGAAATAATTTGGTAGTTAATAATGCTTCATTTCATTTAAACTATATCTTAAAAATGCTATTTCATCTTTTCACAGGACAATGAGAAGAGAACTCCTTTACATGCTGCTGCCTATCTTGGAGATGCAGAAATCATTGAACTGCTAATTTTATCTGGTACGACAACTCCTGTGATGAGTTCATTTTGTTTGGTTTTGTCATAATTAGTATTTCTCAAGCCTGGCTGCCTACTGAATATATAACCTGTTTTTTAATATTGGTTTCATAAGTTGAAACCAAATTGATCATTCTACAGATTCAGATCATATAACCTGATGTAGGTGCTTAAAGTACTTTAAGAAGTAGAACAATAGTTGTTGTCCTAATAGACTTTCTACTCTGAAAAATACAAGTAATGTTCAGTTTGCTTTTTTTTTTTAAAGTCTGTTATGGAAAAATGAAAAGCGTAAATAAGGAGGAATGAGAAGGAAATAACTTTTACAAAAGGCCTTATATATTGTAATTTTCATGGATCTCATTGAATACATAGTTACAAGGAGACAATTACATCATTCCAAAGGTGACTTCTCCAAAGGAGAGAAATAGTGGTAATAGTGTCCCAGAAGCTAGATGAGAAGAAGCAAGTTTTGGTGTATACAGAAATTTAAGGCAGTACTATCAGAATTTCTTTAAATGACTTTTACTTAGAGCTGAGGATATGATTCAGTTGGTAAAGTGATTATTGTATAGGCATGCAACTTAAGTTTAGATCCCTAACCCACATCATAATGCAGGTTTAGCAGTACACAGCTGTAATCCCAGTACTAGAGGAGGCAGAGACAGGTGGATATCTGGAATTCAATGGCCAAACAGACTGCCTAGCAAAAGCAGTGAGTTCTAAGTTTAGTGAGAAAACTGATTCAAAAAATAGGTAGAAAATTATTAAGGAAGACAACCCAATTTTGGCTTCTGGTTTTCACATGCACATATATACCACATATACATATGTATACCACATGCTCTTACATAGGAAAACATACACACATCAAAAAGAAAATAATTTTTTTCTTCAAAAATTTTAAAGATTTTTAAAATGCCTTTTTAGAAATTATGCTTTATGTGCTGAGCTTATGAGCTCAATTGGTCTGGCATATAGGAAGCTCTGGGTTCCATACCCAGCTCCCCAGCATTGCCTAAACTAGATGTAAAAGCACACAAGTTACTGTAATTCCAGCTCTTGAGAGAGAACAGCATGAGAATCAGGGGTTCAAGATAATTCTCAGCTGCATAACAAGTTTGAGGCCAGCCTACGATATATACTCTGTTGAGCATACGAAGCAGGGAGAATTCTAGTTTGTTTCTACTTTTTTAACTCCTAAACTTTTCAAGTTTTTTATTATATAACGCTAGAACTTACTCTGGTTGGATAGCTCTCATGGTCATCAGATTGCCTATAGATCTCAAATCAGGCAGTCAAATGGTGTAGAAATATTTTTATTATAGCCAGAATTTTTTTCTGTGTATGAATATGTGATGTATATTCACCACATCTATGCCTGGTACCTACAGAGGTCAGGAAATGGCCACTGATTCCCTGGAACTAGAGTTACAGCTGGTTGTGGAGCCATCGCATGGGTGCTGAAAATTGAACCTAGGCACCCTGCAAGAGTAGCAAGTGCTCTAAATCACTGAGCTCTCTCTCCAGCCTCTAAACCAGATTATTTTTTGATATTTGTTTGTAAAGGATATGAGACACTGAATTTTTCTTGCATTTCTAGATTGAACATATAAGTTAACACTGAAATGGAGTGGTATCATTCTTTTGATATTTTATTTCAGTCTGGATGAGCTGAGGAAAGAAATTTTGTAGAGTAGTCTCCTTAAAAATCGCTCAGTAACTCAGTAGGCAGAGACAGGCGGATCTCTGTGAGTTTTAGGCCAGCCTGGTCTGCAAGAGCTAGTTCCAGGATAGGCCCCAAAGCTACAGAGAAACCATGTCTTGAAAAACCAAAAAAAACAAAAACAAAAACCCCAGTAAGGCTGGAGAGATGGCTCAGCAGTTATGAGCATTGACTGCTCTTCCAGAGAGCCCAGGTTTAATTCCCAGCACCTACATGGCTGCTCACAATTGTCTGTAACTCCAGTTCCAGAGGATCTGATACCCTCACACAGGCATACATGCACACAAAACACCAATGTCCATAAAATAAAAATAATAAAGTATAAAACACACAATTTCAAAAAATACCATTATACATATACTTAGAATTTTTAAATCTGGCTCTTTTTTTTTAAAGATTGATTGATTTATTATGTATACAACATTCTGCCTCCATGTGTGCCTGCATGCCAGAGAAGGGTGCCAGATCTCATTACAGATGATTGTGAGCCACCATGTGATTGCTGGGAATTGAACTCAGGACCTCTGGAAGAGCAACCAGTGCTCTTAACCACTGAGTCATCTCTCCAACCCTAAATCTGGCTCTTATAATAAATTTTATGGTTATACAGAATTAAATATAGTGTGGTGTGGACCTATCTAATATTGTTAATTTCTTTATGAATTATTTTATCTTTGTTTACTCATCAGTTTTCAGCTAAAAACTTACTGAAGTTAAGAACAAGAAGTTGAAAAAATGTCCTTTTCATCTTAACTAAGACAGGTTTTAATAGAATATGTTGATGAGTCAAAATTTTATACAGGGAAGTTTTGTCACAAAATTGTTGAAAAACCGTTTTTTAAAAATGTTTAGAAATAGCTGTGCTAGGGCTCGAGAAAGGACTCAGTGAGCAAAGTGCTGCCACATAGGCATCGAGACCTGAACTCAGATCCTCAGAACCCCTGTGAGACTGGGCGTGATGGCACGTTCCTAATCCCAG